GGTCCCCGCTGGCAGGGGCAGTTAGTGGCCATATGGGTGCTGGGATTCGAACTCAGGTCTTCTGCAAGAACAGTGTTCTTAACTGCTAAGCCATCTTTCCAGCCCCTTGATTTTATTTTGTAAGAATACCTCATGGTTGGTAATGGTGTACTACTTATTTGCCACATCAAGAAACACATCAGGGCTGAGCAGATGGCTCAGTGGCTAAGAGCAGTGGCTTCTCCTACAGAGGACCTGGGTTTGGTTCCCAACACCCACCTGGTGGCTAACAACTGTCTGTAACTACAGTTCCAGGGGATCCAATGCCCTCTTTTGACTTCCACAGGCATTGCATGACACGGGTGCACTTACATGCATGTGGGAGATACACTCAGACACATAAAAAATAAAATAAAAATTAAAATTTAATTGATACAATTTACCTTTTTCCATAGCATGAGGTAGGAAGTAGGTACCTTTGAGTGATGGTCATTTGCATTTCTTACAGATCTGCAGTGCACACTGTTTTACTAGGTTTCAGACACTGTGGGCTGTTTTGCCTTACCGACTCCTCCATGAATCTAACCCTTAGCAGCCTCCTGAGTTGTGTTAACCAGTAGAACAACTTCTGCCACCACTTCGCCCTTTCCTTTTTTTTTTTCTTTCCTTTTGAGACAGGGTCTCACTTTGAGACAGGGTCTCACTATGCATCCCTTGCTGGCCTGGGACTCCCTATGTAGACCAGGCTGGCCTCGAACTCACAAAGATCTGCCTGATTTTGCCTCTCAAAAGTTGGGATTGAAGGCGTTTGCCACCATGCCTGGCCCAACCACACACTAAAAAACCCATAGTTACTATTTGTTCCTGGACTTTATACACAAGAAAGGAATTCAGAAATGTGTCACTGTATTCACGTTTCGTGCTGTTACTTGGGGTTTCTGGAATAACCACTGTGTGGTTTCCTTCCTAATAGTCTTTTAAAATATATTTGTTTTTACTTGCGTGTGTGTGCGTGAACATGTGTGCGTGCATGTGTGTGCAAATGTGTGCAGTGCCTTCAGAGCCCTGAAGAGGGCCTCATCTCCTGGAGCTAGAGTTATAGGTCATTGTGAGCTCCAAAGTGTAGGTACTGGGAACTGAACTCAGGTCTCTGCAAGAGTAGCATGTGTTCTTTTATTACCTTTTTTTTTTTATGTGTATGAGTATATTGCCTACATGCACATAGGTGTACCCATGTCATGCAATGTCCTGGGAGATCAGAAGAAGGTGTCTGTCTGATTTTCCTGGAACTGGAGTTACAGATGGTTGTTAGCCACCACGTGGGTGCTGGGAACTGAACCTGGGTCTTCTCTAGGAACAGCCAGTGCCTTTAACTGCTGAGCCATCTCTCTTGCCCCTAGTAGTACATGCTTTATCTTCTTTTCTTAAAATTTTTTGATAGATTTATTAATTTATTTTTAAAAAATATTTTTAATTTTATGTGTATGTGTGTATTGCCTGCATGTAGGTAAGTGCACCCATGTC